GTTGGGGGGAGATTGGGGGGAGTGGGGGAGCGCAGAAGCAGGATACAGTGCGTGAAAAGTGCTGGAAGTGGTCCAGGTTGGGGGTTTCGAGCCCGAAACCTGGACTTGGGCCAGAAGAGGGCAAGGGAGTGGGGGATGGGGGAGGAGTGGGGGGAGTGAGTGGTAGCACGTCGTGACACATTGGGGTGAAAAGTGCTGGAAGTGGCGGGAGTGAGAGCGGGAGGGAGTGGGGGAGTGGGGGAGTGGGGGAGTGGGGGAGTGGGGGAGTGGGGGGAGTGGGGGAGTGGGGGAGTTGGGGGAGTGGGGGAGTGGGGGAGTGGGGGAACCCGTCAGGCCCTGAAGGGTTTGGAGAAACCCTTGAGGCTCTGAAGGGTTTGGAGAAACCTTTCAGATCCTGAAGGATTTGAGAAAACCCTTTGAAGGGTTTGGGAAAACCCTTCAGACCCTGAGGAGTTTTGAAAAACACTTCAGGCCCTGAAGGGTTTGGAGAAAACCCTTGAAGCCCTGAAGGGTTTGGGGAAACCCTTCAGGCCCTGAAGGGTTTGAAGAAGCTCTTCAAGCCTGGAAGGGTTTGGGGAAACCCTTCAGGCCCTGAAGGATTTGGGTAAACCCTTCAGGCCCTGAAGGGTTTGGGGAAACCCTTCAGGCCCTGAAGGGTTTGGGGAAACCTTTCAGGTCCTGAAGGGTTTGGGGAAACCCTTCAGGCCCTGAAGGATTTGGGAAAACCCTTCAGGCCCTGAAGAGTTTCAAAAAACACTTCAGGCCCTGAAGGGTTTGAGAAAACCCTTCAGACCCTGAAGGGTTTGGGGAACACGTGCACACGCGCGTGCATACACGTGTGCACTTCAGGCCCTGAAGGGTTTGGGAAAACCCGTCAGGCCCTGAACGGTTCGTGGAAACCCTTCAGGCCCTGAAGGGTTTGAGGAAACCCTTCAGGCCCTGAAGAGTTTGGAAAAACCCTTCAGGCCCTGAAGGGTTTAGGGAAACCCTTCAGACCCTAAAGGGTTTGGAGAAACCTGTCACTCTGAAAGGTGGGGAACCCGTCAGGCCCTGAAGGGTTTGGAGAAACCCTTGAGGCTCTGAAGGGCTTGGAGAAACCTTTCAGATCCTGAAGGATTTGAGAAAACCCTTTGAAGGATTTGGGAAAACCCTTCAGACCCTGAAGAATTTTGAAAAACACTTCAGGCCCTGAAGGGTTTGGAGAAAACCCTTGAAGCCCTGAAGGGTTTGGGGAAACCCTTCAGGCCCTGAAGGGTTTGAAGAAACTCTTCAAGCCTGGAAGGGTTTGGGGAAACCCTTCAGGCCCTGAAGGGTTTGGGGAAATCCTTCAGGCCCTGAAGGGTTTGGGGAACCCGGTCAGGCTCTGAAGGGTTTGGGGAAACCCGTCAGATCCTGAAGGGTTTGGGGAAACCCTTCAGGCCCTGAAGGGTTTGGGGAAACCTTTCAGGTCCTGAAGGGTTTGGGGAAACCCTTCAGGCCTTGAAGGGTTTCGAAAAACACTTCAGGCCCTGAAGGGTTTGGGAAAACGAATGGGGGGGAGCAGTGGGGAGGTGTGGGGGAGTGAGAGAGTGGGGAAGTGAGGGAGTTATGGTCGAAGGTTGATATCTAGAGAGGAGCAGTGGGGAGGTGTGGGGGAGTGAGGGAGTGGGGGAGTGGGGGAGTTATGGTCGAAGGTTGACATCTAAAGGATATCTAAGGGACATCTAAAGGACATCTAAAGGACATCTAAAGAACATCTAAAGAACATCTAAACGACATGATGACATCTGCACACCCTTAAAGAATGGATACATCCTAGTGTCGTTTTTCTCGTGTTATCAAAAGACACTTTCAAACAATGCTCTAGGCGCCAACTTCACTGGCGAACGCTAAACCCTAAACCCTAAACCCTAAACCCTAAACCCTAAACCCTAAACCCTAAACCCTAAACCCTAAACCCTAAACCCTAAACCCTAAACCCTAACCCTAAACCCTAAACCCTAAACCCTAAACCCTAAACCCTAAACCCTAAACCTAAAAAAACCCTAACCCTAAAACCCGAACCCTAAACCCTAAAACCCTAAACCCTAAAACCCTTAAACCCCTAAACCCTAAGCCCTAAACTGCGGCCAAAGCGCCGCCGCCCCACAGGCGGCGGCGGCCAAAGCGCCCCTCGCTACTTTTGCGACTTGCTGTCCCAAATGGAATGATGCATACCACGGAACATTACAAGTAGCACGTGCGTGGCACCACAAGCGTGGAGCTGTTCTCATTAGGGACAGTAGGCCTGTCCCTTGGCGTACGCCAACAGTACTATAATTATAGATAATACCCTAAACCCTAAACCGGAGCTCCGTGAGGTGCTCTTTTTGGGTAGGTCCCAGGAAGCTTAGAAAAGCCTCCAAAAGGCTCCTGAGGGCTTGAAAAACGCTTAGACAGCGTCAAAAAGCACCCAAATGGCTTTGCAAGCCCCAACAGGCTTCAAGAAACCCCGAAAAAGGCCTGACAGGCCCCGCGCGCTTTTCAATGCCTAATTTTGGTCAAGGGGGGGTCGCATTTTTCAATTTTAAAGGCAAAATAGTCTTTGGAGACCCCCCCTTGCCTCAAACTCCGACCCCCCCTTGAAAGGGAAAGTTTGCCTTCGAAAAAGCCACCAAAAGGCTTCAAAAAGCCTCCCAAAAAGCCGGAAGCCCAGAATTGCCAGACCCGCAATTAAAAATGCGATTTTTTTAGTATTGAGATCGACGGTTTTGAACCCCTCCATTTTGAAAGCCAGAAAAAGCCTCCCAAAAAGCCGGAAGTTCAGGATTTGCCAGACCCGCTATTAAAAATGCGATTTTTTAGTACTGAAATCGATGGTTTTGGGCGCCCATCCATTTTATCCCCAAAAGGGCCAGGAAAGCCCCAAAAAGCCATCAAGGGCTACCAAAAGGCGTTAGAAGCCGCCAAAAGGCTTCAAAAAGCCTCCCAAAAAGCCGGAAGCCCAGGATTTGCCAGACCCGCTATTAAAAATGCGATTTTTTAGTATTGAAATCGATGGTTTTGGGCGCCCATCAATTTTATCCCCAAAAGTGCCAGGAAAGCCCGAAAAAGCCTTCAAGGGCTACCAAAAGGCTTTAAAAGCCACCAAAAGGGTTTGCCAGACCCGCTATTAAAAATGCGATTTTGCGCCCATCAATTTAAGCCCCAAAAGGGCCAGGAAAGCCCCAAAAAGCCCTCAAGGGCTACCAAAAGGCTTTAAAAGCCACCAAAAGGCTTCAAAAAGCTTCCCAAAAAGCCGGAAGCCCAGGATTTGCCAGACCCGCTATTAAAAATGCGATTTTTTAATACTGAAATCGATGGTTTTGGGCGCCCATCAATTTAATCCCCAAAAAGGGCCAGGAAAGCCCCAAAAAGCCCTCAAGGGCTACCAAAAGGCTTTAAAAGCCCGGAAGCCCAGGATATGCCAGACCCGCTATTAAAAATGTGCTTTTTTCGTACTGAAATCGATGGTTTTGGGCGCCCATCAATTTTATCACCAAAAGGGCCAGGAAAGCCTCAAAAAGCCTTCAAGGGCTACCAAAAGGCTTTAAAAGCCACCAAAAGGCTTCAAAAAGCCTCCCAAAAAAGCCGGAAGCCCAGGATTTGCCAGACCCGCTATTAAAAATGCGATGCGGTTTTTTAATGCTGAAATCGATGGTTTTGGGCGCCCCATCAATTTTATCCCCAAAAGGGCTAGGAAAGCCCCAAAAAGCTACCAAAAGGCTTTAAAAGCCACCAAAAGGCTTCAAAAAGCCTCCCAAAAAGCCGGAAGCCCAGGATTTGCCAGACCCGCTATTAAAAATGCGATTTTTTAGTACTGAAATCGATGGTTTTGGGCGCCCATCAATTTTATCCCCAAAAGGGCCAGGAAAGCCCCAAAAAGCCTTCAAAGGCTACCAAAAGGCTTTAAAAGCCACCAAAAGGCTTCAAAAAGCCTCCCAAAAAGCCGGAAGCCCAGGATTTGCCAGACCCGCAATTAAAAATGCGATTTTTTAGTACTGAAATCGATGGTTTTGGGCGCCCATCAATTTTATCCCCAAAAGGGCCAGGAAAGCCCCAAAAAGCCCTCAAGGGCTACCAAAAAGCTTTAAAAGCCACCAAAAGGCTTCAAAAAGCCTCCCAAAAAAGCCGGAAGCCCAGGATTTGCCAGACCCGCTATTAAAAATGCGATTTTTTAGTACTGAAATCGATGGTTTTGGGCGCCCATCAATTTTATCCCCAAAAGGTCCAGGAAAGCCCCAAAAAGCCCTCAAAGGCTACCAAAAGGCTTTAAAAGCCACCAAAAGGCTTCAAAAAGCCTCCCAACAAGCCGGAAGCCCAGGATTTGCCAGACCCGCTATTAAAAATGCGATTTTTTAGTACTGAAATCGATGGTTTTGGGCGCCCATCAATTTTATCCCCAAAAGGGCCAGGAAAGCCCCAAAAAGCCCTCAAGGGCTTCCAAAAGGCTTTAAAAGCCACCAAAAGGCTTCAAAAAGCTTTCCAAAAAGCCGGAAGCCCAAGATTTGCCAGACCCGCTATTAAACATGCGATTTTTTAGTACTGAATTCGATCCCGCGACCTTTTCACAGCCTAGTTTTGGTCAAGGGGGGGTCGTATTTTTCAAGTTTAAAGGCAAAATGCGAACTTTTTGTACTGAATTCGATGCTCCATTTTTCCCCCCAAAAGGGCCAGGAAAGCCACAGGAAACGAAAATCAATGGTTTTCGGCGCCTCCATTAACCTAAAAGCCACGAAAGCCCCGGCAAGCCCCAAGAGCCACCAAAATTCAAACAGCCTTCTGCTCGAATGTCCGTGGAGGTATCCTGGAATACTTCTGGCTTCAAGATTCGGTACATGTGCGATGACGCAGCTGCACTCGTCGAGAAAGCGACGCTATGGTGTTTTCCAACGCTCGCCTGTCACCTCATGTCCTGTCCATCGGTTCTAGCCTTGCCGCAGCCACCAAATCTGTACATAAGGTAGTGGGCAAGCACAGTGAACCAGCGCGAGATTGTGCCTCTATACACCTCTAGCTGGTGTGAAATGGTGAGGAGTGACATGACCGATGAATCGCCAATCGGCATCTCGCTGGACGCGTGAGAGTGCTACGTAGCCAGCAGCTTCCACATTCGCAACATCCAGCCATATGGTCACGTGGTCGAGAGTGGCGCCTTGCACCTTCTGCAACGTGACGGCGTAACCTAGTCGAAGAGGCAGGTAGGTCACCCTGCACTGTTCCCCGTTCACCTCGAACTCGTCGTCTGTGTACGGGAACACCGTGACGATGTTGCCGACCCGGGTGCGCACCACCACGCAGTGTTGCTGGACGTCCACCACCTCGGCAGTCATGCCATTCACGAAGTGCAGCTCCTTGTTGACGTTCCGAGTGAGGGTAACCCGCATGCCTATGTGGACCGGGATTTGCGCGGGGTGGCAATCTATCAATTTTCCCCCGGGACCGTAGTTGTCGACGTTGCTTTCCGGATCCCCAGGCACAATGCAAACAGGCTCCGACTCGCCGAACAAGGCATCAATGGCCAGCTCGTTCAGTAGGGCGGCATTGCGCCTGGTGATTGTCACAAAGGTGCTTTTCGGGGTTTCCGCAAGCATGTCTCGCATGTCCAGCACAGTGGGATCTGGCGACACTCCGGGTCTATCCGGCATTGCGCGATGCCCCCGTATCAAGTTCAGCAGCTGTTGCCTGGAGGGCTTGGCCGTGCGCAGCAGCTCGAGTTTCCAGCGCAGCTCCGAGCATTTACAGCGACGCATGGTCTTCAGATGCCGCACCACGACCTGCGATCGCCAGCGGAGACTGTCCAAAGCGCGTGTGGAGTCCATGCCCCGCAGCTGGTGGAAATCCCCGACGAGCACCAGGGCCGGCCTTCGCTCGGCGTTGTCCCAGAGGCGCAGCAGGCGCTCGAACGTCGACTTGGAAAGCTGCCCGACCTCGTCGATGACGACCAGGTCGAAGAAGGTCATGGCATCCCAGGTTTCGTTCTCAGGCTTGTGTAACAAGAACATGCCGTGGAGGGTGTCCACGTCGAGGTCCGGGAACTTCTCCCTATAGCTGCTGGCCAACACCCCAGTAGGGCAGGCGACGCCCACATGAGCGCCAGCCTCCACAGCGCGGCGAATGGCGACCTCCACGCATGTGGACTTGCCACTGCCCGCTGGCCCCAGGATGCACAGCGGCCGCCCCGTGCGAGGCGCGCTCTCCGAGTGAGTTTCAGTGAAGTTGCGCAAGTCCTCGGCCGTGGCCTCGTCCGGATACCGCCTCTGCACGGCCCACTTGACCATTTCCCTGACGTTGTCCACCACAGTCACTTGCTCGGGATCCAGCGCCCCGCGAAACCCCAGTTCGGGCGCGGCAAACAAGCCCGGGATGGGCACCGGGTCGTCCTCCACGTTGAGTGCCCCGGAGAAGTAGGCATCAACGACGGCCGTGTGTGCCTCCAGCATGGCCAGGATGTTGCGGACGTGCGCGTCCCGATACCCTTCCAGCTGCAGCTCCCGTTGAACTTCCAGCGGTCGTCGCCACAGGCCAGGGCGTCGAAGAAGACACAAGGCCAGCATGCGGTAACCTTCCGGCACACGCAATACACGGTTGTCCCAGAGCTCATCGACCTGCCGAAACGGCACATTGAGAAGGAGCCATTGCCCGTAGAACGAGTCCTTGAGTCGGCTGTGCAGCTGAGCAGCGACAGCCACACGGCGACGGCCTCCACCGCGCAACTTGGATCGCTGACGCCCGTCCTTGTTGGACAGACGCATGTATTCCAGCAACGTGCAGTCATCTTCGCGCCACTCGCATTCCATGTACCTCTTCTCCCACTCGCCGGGCGGGCCGGTCCAGGGACACCGCACACTGAGGCGCCGCATCACAGGGGTCGCGATGACCTGCCGGAAGAACTGCGCGCCCAGCTGCAGCCACATCTCGGGCTCGAGCGGGTGGTATTCCGACAGGATCCTCCGCGCCAAGTGGTACGCCGACGCTTCTTCGTTCAGCCAGGTCGTGGCGAAGGAGTCGCTGAACTTCGCTGCGTAGCTGGCAACATACTGGAGCAGCAGAGCACGCCCATCACCTGTCAGCACATCCATGTGGCACTGCATGGCTGCTATGACGTCGGATAAGAAAGCTCTGACGTGTGCCGCCTTGGCGTTGTGCGGATGGTGTAGCAAGATGCGGCTGCTGGCCTTGTCGAAGGTCGTCGGGTCTGCTCGCAAAGGCCAGGCGCTGCTGTCGTAGTCCAATTGTGAGTCCTCGACCAAGTCCCTCATCTCCGGCTCATCTTCTGCCAGATCGGCTCGCAGGATGTTGGACCAGTCCACGGCCGACATGTTCTTCATCCAAACTAAAAGGTGCAGGTGCGCGCGACCAGATCCATGGTAGTTCTGTGGTTCCCTTACATGACGTTGTCGTTTACCATCCTGGAACTCCAGTCGACCGAAGATCTCGACCACCGTCTCTGTCTGGCCGCCATCGGCGGCTGCCAGCACGTGCTCTCGCCAGCACCGATGCTTCGCTTGGAGGTTTCGCTTGTTGGTGCCACATATGAGTCCTTCGGCGACTTGAGTCAGAAGGTGCGCCAGGTGGAAGGTCTCTGCAGCTGGGAGGTTGGTTCGGGTGCGCAGCATCTTCTTGAGCTCGTCTTCCAACCATACATGGCACGGGGCAGACGGCTCGAAGGGCGACACGGTGATGAAGAGCGCAGGAAGGCCGATCTGCTTCACCAGGTCCACCAGCGCCGCATGCGCGTTGTGCCAATACACGGGCGAGAAGTTTCTGCCGGCCAGGGCCCCTCGAAGCGAGGCGCCGGCGCAGTGCTTGGCCCCCCCGAGGCTGCTCCAAAGCCACAGGTCGTAGACGAATTGGGCAAGCTTCCAATCTGCGCCGTAGCCAATCACTCCCGAGAAGACTTTGGCGAGGAAGCTGGACTTGAAGCTTTGGCGCCACGACTGCTCCCCGTCCTGCGCATTCTCCTCGAACTCGGCCTCCTCTTCGGAGCTGTCGCCTCTCACGACCCGTTGGCTTCCACCGCCTGCTCGAGTCCGTCGCCGAGTGTCCTGGCTGCGGACGTAAGTTTCGCACATTTCCATGCACCAGTACAGGTGAGGCCACGCTGCACACTCCAGGCCCACGGTCTCGATGAAGTTCATGGGCAGCCAAGGAATCGGGTCGGCGGCGTCCACCTCCCCATCGACGATCTTCCGCCAGCGCTGCCCCAGGAAGCGTTCGTGCGAGGCCAGGAACTCGCCGTAGGAACTGCCCGAGTCCTTGTCTGTCAGGTAGCGATACGCCTTGCGCCCCTTCTTCCTGTTGGACTTGCCACGCAACGCCTCGAGCCGCCGCTCCACGGACGCCGCCTTCCAGCTGAAGCGAATCGGGGCGGTGTGAGCCCAGTAGCCCCCTTGCGCTCGCTCGCCCGGCCCCGTGTAGATGTCGAACATGGTCAGCGCCTCCAGGACGGCGTCCGGCAAGCTTCTCAAAGGCTCCGGGACTTCCTCCGGGCGAGGTGCCCAGTAGCCAATGCCTTTCTGGCAATACTTGCACTTGCTGGGAGCCGCCTTCCTGTCAGGCCGCCGGACGTGCGTGGGCCAGAATTTATGCCGCTGCAAACGATGGCATTCAGAGCACATGCTCCAGGAATCGTAGCGCGCCCACTTTGAGAAGCCCTCGGCCAGACGGCTGCGCCACTCCGCCGTCGGGCGCCTGTGGTCCTCCTGGTAGAGGGCAGGAAGCTTGCGTGCCAGCCTGCGAACAGAGGCAGCCTCGTCTCGCTCGTGCTGCGCCCGCTCGGCATCGGTCGGCTGACCTTGCGCCACACGCCTCGCCAGGGAGGCGCTCCACTGCTCGCTCTTGGAGACTCGAGCGGCAGCTTCGCGCTGCTCGCGCTTTTGCTGGGCGTTGCGAGCGCGCGCGGCCTTCGTGGGGCCCTTCTTCTGCAGCTGCGCCAGTCTCCTCAAGCACTGATCCAAGGCTTCCTGGTCGACCAAGGCCTTGATGTTGTTGCAAGCCTCATCATAGATGCCTTCATCATGCTCCTTGAAGAAATCAAGGGCAGCGCTAATGGTTCCCTTGCCTTGGGCCGTCCTCAGGTGCTTCTGCAAGAGGTCGGCGTCGCAGAAGCAACATCTCGTCTGTCCTCGCGCTGGCTGGATGCGTGCCTTCTCCCCAATGTTCACTGTGCTGAACTTGCAGGAATCGGCTTCAGAGCGGCCGGGGCACTGCTCCTTTGGGTAAGATGCGCAGCGCTGCGCTGGTCGCCGGAGCACGGACTTGGCGGCAGCAGCAGGACGGCGCATCGGTGCCATGGCTGCGAGGCCGGGGTGCGGGGATGCCTTAGTGATCGAATTGCGCCAAGACGCTGCAGCATGAGACGGACTTTGTCCCTGTAATACATATATTATTGCCTACGCCCCTTAGATTGCTCGAAGAACATACCTATTTGGTCATATTATATACGGCTTGTAGGGCTTACTCATCAAGTACTTACTACGTAATGCGTATTGGTTGTTTCTTACTCGCTTTTACTATTTACTTATGGCTGGCTGCTTGCTACTTACTTTTTACTTGCTACTTATTGTTGTTGACAATATATGCTTCCAGCTCCGGTTCCACGCGCAGGCTCCCGTCAGGCATGCAACGCAGCAGTGATCCTTTTTTGCTTACACTACGCCGGTTTTCGCCTAAACTTATAAAGATATAACTGATCGAATTGCGCCAAGAATTGCTCGAACTCACAAATGACGACCTTATTGTTCATGGCTCGCTTAGTACCTACGTATCCGTAAACCATACGGGCATGTGCCATCAGCAGCCGGTGCAGAGCCCATCCCTTGCAAGGACGGCGTAACTTTCTTCTTTGGCAAGCGTGCTCCATTTCAGCCGGCGCTCACACAGCTGCCATGGCCTGACGCAAGGGGGATACCCAAGTTATTGATGAGTATAACAGTATAACACAGAAAAAGCAGACAGCTCACTCTCAGGCTCCGACTTCCTCGGGCTGTAACCTCGTAAGCAGAGCACTTTGCACAGGAACTCTCACATTGTAATTACATGCTCCTGCGTTGGCCGCGAATCTGTCTAGAGCCCTTCTTCCCGTAAGGCCGAAGCGGCGCTCGGATGATGGTGATCTCCTTCACGCACGTAACCCGGGTCCAATGCTCGCACGGGAAGTTATCCTCGCTCACCACGCGAAGTCCCCACGCACCTGCGATGGAGCTCAGGAAGCCTTTATGAAGTAGGAACCCCATGCCCCGACCTTCGCCCCAGTGCTCTGCCGCGAGGCGCCGGGCCAGGGTCCACACCTTCATATTGAAGTGGACCTGCGCGCGGATTTCCAAAGCACGCGCTCTCGCACAGGCATAATTTAGGAAATTCTAGTCAGCGCTTTATCGGACTCGACTTGCCTCCTCATCTAGGACGTGTCCACCGAGGCCAAGGATGATGCGGACCGTCTTCCTTGAAGGCGCCCGCGTGACCTTGCGCACGCTCTGGATCACAGGCATGACCTGTGGAGTCAGGAATGGCAAATTAGCGACATATGTCACGACACGATGTCCAGCTAACGCGCCTCGGCCAAGGAGCTGCGCGTGGCGGAAGGGGGGATGAACTGCTGATGAGCAAGCTGCTTCCAGGACATGGTATGGGGCCGACTACTTAAAGTAATATTCTTCTTCTTGTGAGTGTTCAGAACTCGTATCACTTCCGACTTCGTGCCTGCATATATTATTACATACTGCTTGCCCCATGTTGCGTATTGCTTTGTTTACTTACTTGCTTGCTTACTAGTTGTTGCTGTTGACTATTTACTACGTATGATTTCTTGCTGTTGCTGGTGCGTTTTTTTTTGAATTCGTTCCTTACCTATTGGGTTACCGTAAAATCAAAAAAGACTTTATGAAAAAATGGTTAGTGCGAAAACTGCTAAAATTCGTGTTTTTCTCATTTCGCCGATTTCGCCGTTACTATGCCCTGGCTTATAAAAACAAGAATCCCGAGTTCTTTTCTGTGGCCGGCGTAGCACGTTCGACGGATTTGGGGCAGCAAAAACGGGTGCGTTTTTGCTTAAAATTGACCTCCGAAAAAAAACGCGTTTCTTGCTGGGACAAGGCAGGGGGCATGCTTGGCCGGGCTGGCGGAATGGCTTCCCTTGGCTTTAAAAACCAGGGTCAGTCAGGTCTGAGTGACGCCAGCCAGTTCTGAGTGACGGTCAGTCAGTTCTGAGTGACGCCCTCAGTTTTTTCACAACCCCCCCCCCCCCCCCCCCCGCCCCCCCCCCCACCCCCCCCACCCACCCCCCCCCCCCCCCCCCACCCCCCCACCCCCACCCCCCCCCACCCCCACCCCCCCCACCACCCCCTTACCCCACACCCTACCCCACCCCCTACCCCCCCCCCTCTACCCCCCCCCTCCTACCCCCGCCCTACCCCCTCCCTGCCCGCCCCCCCCCTCCCCCCCCCCCATACCCCACCCCCCCAAACCCCCTTCCCTACCCCCCCCCTACCCTCCCGCCCCCTTTACCCCCACCCTAACCCCCCCCCGTTCATACCCCCCTCCCCCACCCCTGCCTACCGCCCGCCCCCCCTCCGACCGCCCCTCGAAATTGGCGCCAACTATGATGGTTTTACAGATTGTTTTTTAAATTTAAAACCCTAAACCCTAAAAGGAATAGGTTTGGGTGGTTGGGCCGCCTCCTGAACGGCGCGGGGTGGGTATATGTTGGTCGGCCTGCAGTAAGCGGGCCGAAGAGCCGCTTTTACAGCAAGCACGCCGTCCACCGCAAGAACTGCACTAGTACAGACGTCTCACCCGTGCCCGGAAATTCAACACCCCATTTGGGAAAAGGCGCGAAAACCCTAAACCCTAAACCCTAAACCCTAAACCCTAAACCCTAAACCCTAAACCCTAAACCCTAAACCCTAAACCCTAAACCCTAAACCCTAAACCCTAAACCCTAAACTACGGCCAAAGCGCCGCCGCCCCACAGGCGGCGGCGGCCAAAGCGCCCCTCGCTACTTTTGCGACTTGCTGTCCCAAATGGAATGATGCATGCCACGGAACATTACAAGTAGCACGTGCGTGGCACCACAAGCGTGGAGCTGTTCTCATTAGGGACAGTATGCCTGTCCCTTGGCGTACGCCAATAAGACTATATATTATAGATAATACCTTAAACCCTAAACCGGAGCTTGGTGACGTGCTGTTTGGGGGCAGGTCCCAGGAAGCTTAAAAAGGTCTCAGAAGGCTCCTGAGGGCTTGAAAAAGGCTTAGAAAGCTTCAAACAGCCTCCAAATGGCTTTGCAAGCCATAAACCCCCCAAAAAAGGCCTGAGAGGCCCCGCGCTCTTCAATGCCTAATTTTGGTCAAAGGGGGGTCGCATTTTTGAATTTTAAAGGCAAAATAGTCTTCGGAGACCCCCCCTTGCCTCAAACTCCGACCCCCCCTTGAAAGGGAAAGTTTGCCTCCAAAAACAGACCAAATGAAGGGGACCCCAGGATCGGCGCGGGTCCCAGTTAAAAATGCGATTTTTTAAGACTGAAATCGACGGTTCTGGGTGAGCTCTGGTTTTCTGGATTTTCGACCAAACCGAGCCTTCACCGGTTTCAGAATTCAAGTTTTCACGGTTTTTCAAGGTTTTTCAGAGTTTTCAGTGTTTTTCAAGGTTTTTCAATGTTTTTCAGGATATTTCAGGGTTTTTAACCCTCAATTCTGATGAAGGGCCGCCCCGCGACCTTTTCACAGCCTAGTTTTGGTCAAGAGGGGGTCGCATTTTTCAATTTTAAAGGCAAAATAGTCTCTGGAGACCCCCCCTTGCCTCAAACTCCGACCCCACTTGACATGGAAAGTTTGTTTCAAAAAGGCCTCCCAATACTGAAATCGATGGTTTTGGGCGCCCATCCATTTTATCGCCAAAAGGGCCAGGAAAGCACCAAAAAGCCCTCAAGGGCTACCAAAAGGCTTTAAAAGCCACCAAAGGCCTTCAAAAAGCCTCCCAAAAAGCCGGAAGCCCAGGATTTGCCAGACCCACTATTAAAAATGCGATTTTTGAGTACTGGAATCGATGGTTTTGGGCGCCCATCCATTTTATCGCCAAAAGGGCCAGGAAAGCCCCAAAAAGCCCTCAAGGGCTACCAAAAGGCTTTAAAAGCCACCAAAGGGCTTCAAAAAGCCTCCCAAAAAGCCGGAAGCCCAGGATTTGCCAGACCCGCTATTAAAAATGCGATTTTGTAATACTGATCCATTTTATCGCCAAAAGGGCCAGGAAAGCCCCAAAAAGCCCTCAAGGGCTACCAAAAGGCTTTAAAAGCCACCAAAGGGCTTCAAAAAGCCTCCCAAAAAGCCGGAAGCCCAGGATTTGCCAGACCCGCAAAAAAAATGCGATTTTTTAGTACTGAAATCGATGGTTTTGGGCGCGCCCATCCATTTTATCGCCAAAAGGGCCAGGAAAGCCCCAAAAAGCCCTCAAGGGCTACCAAAAGGCTTTAAAAGCCACCAAAGGGCTTCAAAAAGCCTCCCAAAAAGCCGGAAGCCCAGGATTTGCCAGACCCGCTATTAAAAATGCGATTTTTTAGTACTGAAATCGATGGTTTTCAAAAAGCCTCCCAAAAAGCCGGAAGCCCAGGATTTGCCAGACCCGCTATTAAAAATGCGATTTTTAAATACTGAAAATCGATGGTTTTGGGCGCCCATCCATTTTATCCCCAAAAGGGCCAGGAAAGCCCCAAAAAGCCCTCAAGGGCTACCAAAAGGCGTTAAAAGCCACCAAAAGGCTTCAAAAAGTCTCCCAAAAAGCCGGAAGCGCAGGATTTGCCAGACCCGCTATAAAAAATGCGAATGTACCGAAATCGATTGTTTTGGGCACGCCTCCATTTTACACCCAAAAAAGCCAGGAAAGCTACAGGAAACCCCCAAGGGCTACCAAAAGGCTTGAAAGGTCACCAAATGACCCCATAATTTTCTGGATCTTGGGGTTTATGGGGGCGGAAGTGCGTTGTTCGGAAGCCTAAAAAAGCATCCAATGGCATCCAACAAGCATAAAGGAAGGATCGGAACGCAAGCAAGGACACAAGCAGCAGAAGCCTGAAGCTGCACTTGCCAAGAAGGCTGCGCTGTGATGTTTTGCACTGAGCTCGCCTATTGTCACATCATGTCCTGTCCATTGGTTACGGACTTGCCACAGCCATATCACAAATCTGTACATAAGACAGCGGGCAAGCGCAAAGAACCAGCACAAGCTAGTGTCGCTATACACCTTTGGCCGGCGTGAAATGGTGAGGGGTCACGTGGCCGATGAATCGCCAATCCGCGTCTCGCTGGACGCGAGAAAGTGCTACATAGCCCCGCGTTCGCAACATCCAGCCAGATGGTCACGTGGTCGAGAGTGGCACCTTGCACCTTTTGCAACGTGATGGCGTAACCCAGTCGAAGAGGCAGGTAAGTCACCCTGCGCAACTCCCCCATCACCTCGAACTCGTCGTCGGTATACGGGAAAACTGTGACGATGTTGCCGACACGGGTGCGCAGCACCACACTGTGTTGCTGGACGTCCACCACCACGGCAGTCATGCCATTCACGAAGTGGAGCTCCTTGTTGACGTTGCGAGTGAGCGTCACCCGCATGCCGGACACGGTTTTAAACCAGGGTGTTTGCCCCCCCCGCCCTGCCCGGCCGGCATGCCTAGCTTTTGTTTTCCTCTTGAGAATTTCTTGCGATGCATGACATGAAGATTTTCTCTTGAGGATTCCACAGTTTGCTTGGCATGTTTTCCAATCCTTTTTGGTCCGGCAGTTTCTTGCTCGATTGGGACCGGCAGGTCTCGACCTCGCATGGCACTCGAAAGTGCACCCCTCTCCTGCTCACTGCTGCGCCCGACACCACTTCTGCTCATTGCCGAAGCTGACGCATTTGCTGATGCGTCCCTGTGCGGCCTCGGAGGGTACATCTCTTGGCCTTCCGGGAAATGCTCCTGGTTTAGTGTCACCTTGACTTCTGAGGATGTGGCGCGATTGTGCGATGTCATGCCTGCACCTTTGCAATCGCACATTGCCGCCTTAGAATTGCTGGCTCAGCTTTGTCTCTTGTGGATCACTCATGCTGCGCTTCCTGGGTGCTGTACGGCACTAGAGGTGGCGCTGCGCTGCGATAATTCGGCAGCAGAAGCAGCTGCTCACAAAGGGTTGTCGTCTGTTCGTTCTCTTGCCTGGGTTCTTCGCAGGTTCTATGCTTGCGAGCAAAGCTTCAATATTCGAGCTGCTCCAGAACATATCCCGGGTTACCGCAATGTGCTGGCCGACGAGCTGAGTCGCCTCGGCACCTCCTTTGGCGCTGGAAGACCGCTGTGCTCCACCACTCGCAGAGCTGCTGCGTGCCCCCACTCGGCTCCGGCTGGGCCCTCCGCCTGCATCTGCTCGCTGGCCATCCTACCTCGAGCAGCTTGCGTAGTCTGATCCAGATCTTGCGGGTGATTAAAAAGAGTGCCTTGCATTCGGACCTGGGAGTCCGTGCATTGGGTTTCCCGATTTTTTCCTTCTTTCCTTTCTTCGGGGTCTTCCCCTGGCGGGTCGTGAAACGATTTCTTTGTCGGTGTGCCTTCGACCGCGTTTCGGGTTTGGGTTCGACTTTTCGGATTGCCCGGGACCGCTGTTTCGGGCTGCGTCCGTCGTCGATCCCCGTTGCCTTCGGGTCGGCACCGATTTGGTTTACTCGCCAATTCGACTCGTGTTGAATAAAAGGAGTGAAGGATTGATCTTTTCGGGGAACCCATTTTCTACTGATACATTTGGATATTCGTGTCTGAATGATGGATATCTTTTCCTTATCAGTATTGGGATTCGTGCATGAACGTATACGGACAGTAGGGGTGCAAACTATGTGGATAGGGATTTGCGCAGGCTGGCAATCCATCAGCTTACCCCCGGGACCATAGTTGTCGACGTTGCTTTCGGGATCCCCAGGCACGGTGCAAACGGGCTCCGAATCGCCGAACAAGGCGTCGATGGCCAGGTCGTTCAGCAGGGCGGCGTTGCACCTTGTGATTGTCACAAAGGTACTTGTCGGGGCAGCAGCGAGCATGTCTCGCATGTCGAGCACGGTGGGATCTGGCGAAACTCCGGGCCTGTCCGGCATTGCGCGATACCCCCGTATCAAGTTCAGGAGCTGCTGCCTGGAGGGCTTGGCCGTGCGCAGCAGCTCGAGTTTCCACCGCAGTTCCGAGCATTTACAGCGACGCATAGTCTTCAGATGCCGCACCACGACCTGCGATCGCCACCGGGGGCTGTCCGAGGCACGTGTGGGGTCCATGCCTCGCAGCTGGTGGAAATCCCCAACGAACACCAAGGCCGGTCTTCGCTCGGCGTTGTCCCAGAGTCGCAGCAGGCGCTCGAACGTCGATTTGGAAAGCTGCCCGACCTCATCGATGACGACCAAGTCGAAAAAGGTCATGGCATCCCAGGTTTCGTTCTCAGGCTTGTGCAACAAGAACATGCCGTGGAGGGTGTCCACGTCGAGGTCCGGGAATTTCTCCCTGTAGCTGCTGGCCAACACTCCAGTAGGGCACGCGATGCCGATGTGAGCGCCGGCTTCCACGGCGCGGCGGATGGCGACCTCCACGCACGTGGACTTGCCACTGCCCGCTGGTCCAAGGATGCACAGCGGCCGCCCCTTGCGAGGAGCGCGCTCCAAGCGAGTTTCAGTGAAGTTGCGCAAATCTTCGGCCGTGGCCTCGTCCGGATACCGCCTCTGCACGGCCCACTCGACCATTTCGCGGACGTTGTCCACCGCCATCACTTGCTCGGGATCCAGCGCCCCTCGAAATCCCAGTTCTGGCGCCGCAAACAGGCCCGGTATGGGCACCGGGTCGTCTTCCAAATTGAGCGCGCCAGTGAGGTAGGCGTCGACGACGGCCGTGTGTGCCTCCAGCATGGCCAGGATGTTGCGGACGTGCGCGTCCCGATACCCTTCCAGCTGCAGCTCTCTCTGCACTTCCATCGGGCGGCGCCACAAGCCGGGGCGCCGAAGCAGACATAAGGCCAACATGCGGTAACCTTCCGGCACGCCCAATACGCGGTCGTCCCAGAGTTCATCTACTTCCCGAAAAGGCACGTTGAGAAGGAGCCATTGCCCGTAGAAGGAGTCCTTGAGCCGGCTGTGCAGCTGAGCAACAACAGCGACGCGGCGGCGGCCCCCACCACGTATTGTGGATCGCCGGCGCCCGTCCTTGTTGGACAGCCGCATGTATTCCAGCAGCGTGCAATCGTTGTCTCTCCACTCACACTCCATGTACTTCTTCTCCCACTCGCCGGGCGGGCCAGTCCAGGAACAGCGCACGCTGAGGCGCCGCATCACAGGGGTCGCGATGACCTGCCGGAAGAACTGCGCACCCAGCTGCAGCCACATCTCGGGCTCGAGCGGATGGTACTCTGACAGGATCCGCCGCGCCAAGTGGTAGGCCGACGCCTCCTCATTCAGCCAGGTTGTGGCGAAGGAGTCGCTGAACTTGGCTGCGTAGCTGGCAACATACTGCAGCAGCAGAGCTCGGCCGTCCCCCGTCAGCACGTCCATGTGGCACTGCATGGCTGCTATGACATCAGACAAGAAAGCTCGTACGTGCGCCGCCTTGGCGCTCTGAGGATGGTGTAGCAAGATGCGGCCGCTGGCTTCGTCGAAAGTCGTCGGGTCTTCTCGCAAAGGCCAAGCGCTGCTGTCGTAATCCAACTGCGAGTCCTCGACCAAGTCCTTCATCTCCGGCTCGTCTTCCGCCAAGTCGGCTCGCAGGATGTTGGACCAGTCCACGGCCGGCATGTTCTTCATCCAAACCAAAAGGTGGAGATGGGCACGGCCGGATCCGTGGTAGTTCTGCGCTTGCCCCACATGTCGTTTCCGCTTGCCGTCCTGGAACTCTAGTCGACCGAAGATCTCGACGACCGTGTCAGTCTGGCCGCTGTCGGCAGCTGCCAGGACGTGCTCTCTCCAGCACCGATGCTTCGCTTTGAGGTTTCGCTTGTTGGTGCCACATATGAGTCCTTCGGCGACTTGAGTCAGAAGGTGCGCCAGGTGGAAAGTCTCCGCAGCTGGGAGATTGGTCCGGGTGCGCAGCATCTTCTTGAGCTCGTCTTCCAACCAGACGTGATACGGGGCAGACGGCTCGAAGGGCGACACAGTGATGAAGAGCGCAGGAAGGCCGATCTGCTTCACCACATCCACCAGCGCGGCATGCATATTGTGCCAGTACACAGGCGAGAAGTTTCTGCCGGCCAGGGCCATGCGAAGTGAGGTGCCGCCGCAGTGCTTAGCTCCGCCAAGGCTGCTCCATAGCCACAGGTCGTAGACAAATTGGGCGAGCTTCCAATCTGCGCCGTAGCCGATCACTCCGGAGAAGACCTTGGCGAGGAAGCTGGACTTGAAGCTCTGGCGCCACAACTGCTCCCCGTCCTGCGCATTCTCCTCGAACTCGGCCTCCTCGTCGGAGCTGTCGCCTCTCACCTGGTGTTGTTGCTGGAAGGGCAGAGGCGGCGGAGAAGGCGGATGAAAAGGTCCAGACGTGAGGCGTGGGAGAAGCCATGGAGCGCCATGGGGCGGGAAGGGCGGAGGGGGCGGGAACCATATGGAGCGCCGTGGAGCGGGAAGGGCGGATGGGGCGGAGCGGGAAGGGCGGAGGGGGCGGGGAGGGCGGAGAGGGCGGGCAGGCACTGGGACCCTTTAAAGTCAGCTGATAGGGTCCAAAGCCGTGAAGCCATGGCATGAGCCATTAAGGGTGAGAGGCATGGGGCCATGAGGCCCTCCTGCCCGAGCCTGCCGCCGGCTGTCCTGGCTGCGGACGTAAGTTTCGCACATTTCCGTGCACCAGTACAGGTGAGGCCATGCTGCACACTCCAGGCCCACTGTCTCGATGAAGTTCATGGGCAGCCAAGGAATGGGGTCGGCGGCGTCCACCTCCCCGTCGACGATCTTACGCCATCGCTGCCCCAAGAAGCGTTGGTGCGAGGCCAAGAACTCGCCGTAAGAACTGCCCGAGCCCTCGTCCGTCAGAAAGCGATACGCCTTGCGTCCCTTCTTCCTGCTGGACTTGCTGCGCAGCGCCTCGAGCCGCCGCTCCACGGATGTCGCCTTCCAGCTGAAGCGAATCGGGGCGGTGTGAGCCCAGTAGCCTCCTTGCGCTCGCTCGCCCGGCCCCGTGTAGATGTCGAACATGGTCAGCGCCTCCAGCACGGCGTCCGGCAAGTTTCTCAAAGGTTCCGGGACTTCCTCCGGGCGAGGTGCCCAGTAGCCAATGCCTTTCTGGCAATACTTGCACTTGCTGGGCGCTGCCTTCCTGTCAGGCCGCCTGACGTGCGTGGGCCAGAATTTCTGGGGCTGCAGGCGATGGCATTCGGAGCACATGCTCCACGAATCGTACCGCGCCCACTTGCAGAAGCCCTCAGCAAGACGGCTGCGCCACTCTGCAGTCGGTCGCCTGCGGTCCTCCTGGTAGATGGCGGGGAGCTTGCGTGCCAGCCTGCGAAGGCAGGCAGCCTCCTCTCGCTCGTGCTCTGCCTGCTCGGCGTCGGTCGGCCGACCTTGCGCCGCACGGCTTGCCAGGAGAGCGCGCCGCTGCTCGCCCTTGGAGACTCGGGCCGCCGCTTCTCGCTGCTCACGCTTCTGCTGCGCGTTGCGAGCACGCGCGGCCTTTGTGGGTCCCTTCTTATGCAGCCGCGCCAATCTGCCCAGGCACTGGTCTAAGGCTTCCTGACCAACAAAAGCCTTGATCCGGTTGCACGCGTCATCGTATATCTCCTCATCGTGCTCCTTGAAGTACTCGAGGGCATTGCTGATGGCTCGCTTGCCTGGAGCAGTCGTCAGATGCTTCTGCAGGAGGTCAGCGTCGCAGAAGCAACACCTCGTCTGTCCGCGAGCAGGTTGCAGTCCGGCCTTGTCCCCAACGCTCACCGTGCTGAACCTGCAGGCGTTGGCTTCGGAGCGGCCGGGGCACTGCTCCTTTGGGTAGTACGCCCGGCGCTGCGCTGGTCGCCGGAGGACGGGCTTGGCGGCAGCAGCGGGGCGGCGCATCGGTGCCATGGCTACGAGGCCGGGATGCATGGATGCCTCAGTGATCGAATTGTGCCAAGATGCTGCAGCGTGAGACGGACGACCTGCTACTTATAATACATATTTTATTGCCTACGCTACTTCGATTATTCGAAGTACAAAGTTATCTAATAATCATATTACATACAGCTTGTAGGACTTACGAAGCAATCTTAATACTTACTACTCAATACGTATTGGTTGTTGCTTACTCGCCTTTCCCACTTACTTATTACTGCTTACTTGCTATGGCCAAGGAGCTGCACGTGGCGGAAGGGGGGATGAACTGCTGATGAGCAAGCTGCTTCCAGGACATGGTATTGGGCTGACTACTTAAAGTAATATTCTTCTTCTTGTGAGCGTTCAGAACTCGTATCACTTCCGACTTCGTGCCTGCATATATTATTACATACTGCTTGCTACATGTTGCGCATTGCTTTGTTTACTTACTTGCTTACTTACTTGCTTGCTTACTTGCTAGTTGTTGCTCTTGACTATTTACTACGTATGATTTATTGCTGTTGCTAGTACGCTCTTTTTTTGAATTCGTTCCTTACCTATTGGGTTACCGCAAAATCAAAAAAGACTTTGTGAAAAAAACGGCTGGTGCGAAAACTGCCAAAATTCGTGTTTTTCCCATTTCGCCGATTTCGCCGCTACTATGCCCTGGCTTATAAAAACAAGAATCCCGAGTTTTTTTCTGTGGCCGGCGTAGCACGTTCGACGGATTTGGAGCAGCAAAAACGGGTGCGTTTTTGCTTAGAAATGACCTCCGAAAAAAAACGCGTTTCTTGCTGGGACAAGGCAGGGGGCACGCTTGGCCGGGCTGGCGGAATGGCTTCCCTTGGCTTTAAAAACCAGGCGTCAGTCAAGTCTGACTGACGTCAGCCAGTTCTGACTGACGGTCAGTCAGTTCTGACTGACGCCCTAGTATTTTTCACAAGCCCACACCCAACCCCCCTCCCCCCCTACCCTCCCCTGCCCGCTACCACACCCCCCCCCCCCCCTACCCCCCTCCTTCCCCACCCCCTCCCCCCCCCCTTACACCCCCCTCCCCTCCTACCCCTCCCCCCCCCCTACCCCCCTACTTACCCCCCCTTACCCCCCCCCTCCCCGCCCCTCTAAATTGGCCCAACTATGATGGTTACACAGATTTTAAAGTTTAAGCCCTAAACCCTAAAAGGAGTAGGTTTGGGTGGTTGGGCCGCCTCATGAACGGCGCGGGGTGGGTATATGTTGGTCGGCCTGCAGTAAGCGGGCCGAAGAGCCGCTTTTGCAGCGAGCACGCCGTCCACCGCAAGAACTACGCTAGCATAGACGTCTCACCCGGACCCGAAACTCAACACCCCATTTGGGAAAAGGCGCGAAACCCTAAACCCTAAACCCTAAACCCTAAACCCTAAACCCTAAACCCTAAACCCTAAACCCTAAACCCTAAACCCTAAACCCTAAACCCTAAACCCTAAACCCTAAACCCTAACCCAAACCCTAACCCAAAACACCTAAACCCTAAACCCTAACCCTAAAACCCTAAACAAACCCTAAAAACCCTAAACCTCAAACCCTACAACCCTAAAACCCTAAAACCCTAAAACCCTAAACGCCTAAACTTAAACTCTAAACCTAACCCTAAACCCTAAACCCTAACACCCTAAAAACCCTAAACCCGAAACCCTAAAACCCTAAACCCTAAACCCTAAACCCTAAACCCTAAACCCTAAACCCTAAACCCTAAACCCTAAACCCTAAACCCTAAACCACCCTAAACCACCCTAAACCCTAAACCCTAAACCCTAAACCCTAAACCCTAAACCCGAAACCCTCTCTACCATATACATTTAAACCTTAATTGTATTTTCAAAATTTGGCCGCTTTATTTTCAGAATTTGGCCGCTTTATTTTCAGAATTTGGCCGCTTTATTTTCAGAATTTGGCCGCTTTATTTTCAGAATGAGCCAAAATCAGGCCAAAGGCCAATTGAATTTCAGAATTTGGCCGCTTTATTTTCAGAATTTGGCCGCTTTATTTTCAGAATTTGGCCGTTTTATTTTCAGAATTTGGCCGCTTTATTTTCAGAATTTTGCCTCAGAATTTGGCCAGAATGTGGCCGCTTTATTTTCAGAATTTGGCCGCTTTATTTTTAGAATTTGGCCGCTTTATTTTCAGAATTTGGCCGTTTTATTTTCAGAATTTGGCCGCTTTATTTTCAGAATTTGGCCGCTTGATTTTCAGAATTTGGCCGCTTTATTTTCAGAATTTGGCCGCTTTATTTTCAGAATTTGGCCGTTTTTGGCTTTCTCAATGTAGTGGGATTCTCTGGGTGGGTGGGTGTTTTATCCGAGCCGTAAATGAAGCTTAACCATAAAGCTGCTCGACCCGGAGTGCTGAACCCTAAACCCCTAAACCCTCAACCCCAAAACCCTAAACCCTAAACCCTACTGTATACCCTAAACCCTAAACCCTAAACCCTAAACACTAAACCCTAAACCCCAAAACCCCAAACCCTAAACCCGAAAACCCTGTTGAGGGTTTCGGGTTCAGGGATATTTGCACCTTTTTCACCAAGTGTTGACCATGTCGTGCTGTCCACTTGCCACCAAGTTGACGGTTGCGACCCAACCATCCTGCCACTGGTGCCGTGGCTGTGAACTGTGGAAACTCGGTGCATTGTTTGCCCATCGACTTCCGCCATTTCGTGCGATTGCACACTCGCTGCAGCAGCTCAGCTGCCCTTGGGTCTCCTGCCCCTGAGGCAATTGCATCCCAATCAAATTGGTTACCATGATCTCGGCCTAGGCAACTGTTGCGGCCTTTAGCTAGGTGCATTCGACCAGAGCTGCCCTTGTACATCCGCTTTGTAACCTAAGTTGCAAGCAATGAAACACCAACAATGTTTAGATGCTCATGCTTGAAACTGCTCATGTTTACTGCCCTTCTAAGAAACATCAGTGGCTGTACTTGTTGTGGATGCCGATCCTGTGGACCAGCCTCATGTGTGCAAATCTCTTCCAAGCCGGAATGAGATGTTCTCTGCGACCATTCGTCTGTCGCCACAGGCCAAGCTCCTCCGACTGGTGTTTCCACGTGCAAGCTGTGTGAAGATGTACCATGCAAAGCATGTTTCTAACACACTCCTCCACAGCTTCCAGAGCCTCGGTCGCTCTGTTAAGGATTTGATTCCTGTCGACTTCGACAGCGACGGTGTGATGGGCAAGCTCTCTCTGACGGTTGCTTCCACCTGCTGCTTCACACGTGGCCAGGTGTTCGCCAGCGGGCACAACCTGACTTCCACCCTAAAGCCTCCCATCTTGGGCGACTCGATGGTTGTTAGGTCGTTTACCATTGCTTCAACCTTTCCTTTCAGCTGCGATAGTTGTCTCTCCTTGTAGCCCTCTGGAAGCAGGACGGGTGGAAATCCATGTGCTTTGAGATGATGTACCCACCCACCGGGGTACAGCTTCGCATTCTTCAAGTGACAAGCATCCCCCTCTTCGCCCAACACCAGGTCACTTCGACACGTGGCTGTGTAGCCACCCAGTCCCGACCCTAATGCACCATACATGGAGTACCTTGCGAAGCAACCGCATTCAGGCCTATAAATGCTACTGTCAGGAGTTCCAACACACACGAACCCTTTATGGCTGAACACAAGTCCATACACTTGTTTGGTGATCACTTCCAGCCTGGATGTGTCTGCCTTAGCCCAGCGGACATCTTGTCTGAATGAAGTGGTGGACCCCATGACGAGAGGATGACCGTCAACCTTGTCCTGGTAAGCCAAATCGATTTCAGCATCTCTGATGTAATCCAAAGCTTCTGCATAGGGAAGCACTCCTCGAAGACATGAAGACTTGAAGGTTGGAACACATGTTCAAGCTCTGAAAGTTCAACTACAGCTGACGATAAAATGAATTATAGCTTCCATGTTCCCCTTATGGAGTTGTCTGAGTTACCACATCGGTTTTGCTGCATTCCAGTAATATGACATCGGTAGGCATTCTGATCATGCAACTCCAAGCTTCTGCGGATTTCGTGCCAAGTTGGAGTGAGAACCTCTTCATAGAATCTTTGTGCAGGCATCTTGTAACCATACCCGCAAACGACAAGTCTTCCCTCGCACCTGTCTAAAACTCTGGTCAGCAGTCTTGCAAGGACATCTGAGTCCATGGGCCTGGAGTGAAGGGCTATGTGCAAGTCAGTCTTGCTTTTGGGAGGCATGAGCACTGGGTGCATGTACTCATCCCTCTGCAGCTCTTCCAGGAAGACTGCACCGATCTGACTTTGCTTCCTAGCCTTGGACCCGCCCGGTACCTGTACTCGCAAAGTATACGGAGAGTTTGCGATTTCCAGGCCATCTGGCAGCCCATCTGATCTAACCGAAGAGCCTCCCACTTGCCACCAGTCTGCAAAAAGTGGAAGGCACTGCGGGAGAATGGGTATCGACAGGTAGTCGAGATCCAAGCTCATTCGGCTGTCCTCTGGCAGCGCGTCTTCCAGCAGGAACTCTTGCTGCCGTTCGATGTTCCCACGTCGTTCTTCCAGCCCAGCTTGCAGTAGTCGTGCGATTCTGCCCACCCTGCTGGCCCTTCGCAACGACTCCGACCGGAGGCCTGCTTTAAATTGCTGCATGAACCGATTCACTTTGGCATATGTGCTGTGAATCCCCGGCGACAGGAAATACAGCGGCATTACCTCAGGTGTGATGATGTCGTCCTCACCGGTATCTCTGTGCAGTCGCAATGCGGGAAGAAATTCGCATATTCGTTGTGTCACGACTTTTGGCAACCCGTGTGCCAGTGCTGGTCGCCACGGAGTCCCTGGGGGATGTTCAGGTTATGAAAGTATATAAACCAACAATACCAGTGAGGCCTGAAGCCCTTAACCTCTATAAAGACAAAAGTCTTCGGAGCCTTACAAGCTTGTGGACAAAGACAACAATGTTCCAGTTGTGCCTGGTATTCTTGATTGTGTAAGGTCAGCTTAAACCACGTAGTGGTGTGGCATGCAGGGAT